AGTGGAGGTTCCAATTGAAGGTATATAAGCCAATTTTGTGCTATGATCTGCTCTGACCTTGTAACTCTTCATCTCAAGGTAAAGAATGATATTTGGCAGTTTGTATGTTACCACTGCGAGTTTATTCATATGCCTTGTATTTGGGATATAGCTTTGATTACCACGGCAAAGTTAAGTTGGTTTCCCTTGGGTTTAGTGATCTATCTTGGCTTTAGGGTATAGTTTTGAACACCACCACGTTGTGAAATTTGTCTGCCTTGGGTTCATTCATCGAACTTGCCTTTAGGTTATAGGTTTGAACTTTGAACACTACCCATCTTTATATTAATTTCCCTTGGGTTTAGTCTTCTATTGTGGCTTTAGGGTATAGTTTTTAACACCACCGCGTGGTGAAATTGGTTTCCCACAGGTTCATTCATCCCACTTGCCTTATAAGTTATAGCAAGAATTATAATGATGTTCTAGTTTCCGATACTCTTACTATATTGCTAATCTGAATTTGTGTAGGTGAAACAAATGTTGAGTTCGCTTCAGTCTTCATCACATTTTAAAGGTATGACAATACATTAATCTCACATTGACATAGGGGTATTTACTTCCTTCCTCTGCTTCATTCTCTTATTATCTCCTTTGTTCCAGCTGATTGTTATGGGGAGATATATAGATGTGGACAAATCAAGAAGAATGGAAAGCTTCTCACTTTATATCTCAACGAAGCTTATGGATCTGGATTCCAATCCAAAAACTGAGTAGTTGTTCTGATAAAATCGATGATCTCACTTGTAATTGATTCATAGTGGATAAAAAAAATTCATGATTAAATTTTTATATACGATAAGAAAATAAAGCTAGTTTCGTGGATATAGTTTTTAAGGAATTTTCATTATTAGTGATTTAGTGGTCGAAAGAAAATATATTTAAACTATCTTGTGGACACAATATTACCAATTAATAGATTGTGATTTGTGAATCAAGCAAATACAGTAAAACCTCTATAAATTAATAATGTTGGGACTATGGTATTTTATTAATTTATAGGGATATTAATTTATCCATAAATTAATATTTATTATTTTATAGTGTCAATTAATAATTATTAATTTATATTGGTATTTAAAAAAAAAATATGCATTGACACAATTTTACAAAATAAGACTACTCTAATAGATATTATAAATTATAGTTTAAAAATGAATTTTACATTTTGAAACAAGAAATTTGATTATAAACTACAAATATTATAGATAAGTTCACTTATACAAATGATAGTCATAAATTCAAATGTATAAATATGATTAATAACCTCAATTGTTATATTTTAACATTATATATAATGAATATTATGCATATTTTAAAATTGAAAACATAAAGAAAATTCGATTATTTTTATGACTTGTGATGGAATATTTTACAAAATTATTACTTAAAATATACTAACATAAATTTTTTTATTGAGGTGAACTCTCGGAGAAAATTTATTTTTACAGAAATAAAATAAAACATATATTAATATATCTACTTATATATATATATATATATATATATGTATGTATAGTGATTATTAATTTATGATATTATTGGGACTATATTTTACATAGGAATTTCAAAAAAAGTATTATCTTATTATCTTATCGAATTTTGTCAAATTTTACACCGGCCCGACTTGGGACTAGCAAAATTTATTAATTTATAGTGTTTATTAATTTATAGAGTATTAATTTATAGAGGTTTTACTGTACGTAGTTTCCTATGAAATACAAAATTGTTATAATCAATTGGTTAGCCATGCTTAATTTGTCTGATGTCATCAACATATTCCAAGGTTAAAATTGTCATGCACAGTTCGATTTTGCTTTTTATTTTTGCTATAGTTGTAACGATGCCTAAATCCGAAGTTAGATCCCAAATAATGCCTATTCTTACAATACACTCGAAACTAAATGGGGTCAGATATTTTAAATCAAGCCATCGGGTAACTATTATATATGCAACCACAGAACTAATACAAAAAAAAAACTACAACATAATCATAATTCCTTTATTTTAACATTCTTGTCAGGAACTATAATATTTTTACAATATCACATCCAATATAGAAAGACTTTCATGTAAATATATACATGAGTTAGGTGAATTGTATGAAGTCTTTAATTTATATCAATATATACATTATTCTTGAAAAATGGCTATAGTTATGATTTTTAATTTGGGAAGATTGATCCTCAACGTCTATATTCACTTTATGATATGAAAACAATCGATTTTATAATTGTCCAATTTTTACCATAGTCTAACTACAGAAGGACAGTGATAAAAGTGGTACGAAAAAAACAAAAACAATGATAAAGTGAACCAATTATATGTCTAATGGTGTTAAAACTAAATTCGTCCAATCCGAACATCTCCATCTACCTTACCACAAAAAAAAGTGTTGGTTTAAGTTTGAAGTCAACTTGAGTAACAAGTTATCCTATTCCTAAACCGAGTTATGGTTAAAGAGATAAGGATTATATGTTTTAGGAGTTATCTAGACATAAGTGTTTCCTTATAGGATTAGGATTGGTGTTATTATAAATAGAGATGTCGAGTAATGACATAAGGTGTGAGTTTGGAGAAAGAGATTGAGAGCTTAAGTTTTTGAGAAAGTTTTCTTAAGCTAATAAAGGGTTTTTACAATCTTGAGTTCTTACAAACAAACATTCAGTTTCTATATTTGGTATCAGAGCTTATACAAACGATTCTTGAGACATTATGGGGGATATTGTTGATGCATCGGCTGCTCAAACAAAGAAAGAAGGTAGCTCTTCATCAATCAAGTGTCCTATGTTGTCTTCATCGAATTACACTGTGTGGGCTATAAGAATGAGAATTCTTCTTCGAGTACATAAGGTCTGGGATATTATTGAAACACCAACAGATGATGGTGAGAAGAACGACATGGCTATAGCCTTGT